GATGGGGTGGAGGGGAGGATGAGGGCGAGGGGAGTATGGGGGAGTGGAGGGATGATGATAGGGGAGGGAGAGGATGAGGGAAGGGAGGGGTAAAGGTGGGGAGGGAAGGTGGAGGGGGTAGGAGGGGGTGGGAGGGAGGGGAGGGGAGGACAGGGTGGAGGCGAATGAGGATGGGGGATGGAAGAGTCCTGGCCCCACACGGGAAAACCAGGGAGCGCGGGGGGGTTCTCCCCGAGACTCGCAGTGGATCTGGCCGGCCCCGTGCACCCCCCCGCCCTAACGCCCACTCACGTGCCAGGCTCCCCCCGGAAGGTTCCGGCCCAGGACCAAGTGGGGGACGGCTCGCTCCTTCTGGTGCTTCCAGGTGAGGACGGAGTCCAGGTTGCCCCCGAAGTCCGTGTCGGGGCGCAGGAGGGCGTCGAAGAGCAGGGCCACGGGGCTTTGGCACCGGCCTTCCAGGCCTTCGGAGAGGTAGTCCAGGTCCTGGGGACGGGCGCGGGTCAGGGCCGTCTGCCGGGAGGCCAGGCAGGGCGGGGAGCGTGGGGACTGGGGCTGGGCCGTGCCCCTGGTGCTGGAGGGACCTGGTCTCGGAGAAGCGTCCCCGCTAGGGCACGTGGGAGCTCTCGCTCGGGGTGTCTCTCGGAGCCCAAGGGGCCAGAGCACAGGCCAGGTGGGCGAGCTTAGAAGGGGCTGGTGCAGTTGCCTGGGGCTACGCTCCTGCCCTAATACGGGGTGGTCGGATAAGCTGGGGAAGTGCTGCCTCTCACAAGTAGATCATGCAGGCCAGCACGTTAAAGGCTCTGACAAGTCCTGCAGCCATCATTTTGCCAAGTCCTGCTCCATTTTGCCAAAGCCCAGTGTCTCCCAGATTTACTGGAGTGGGAACACTTCTCTCTGCATACCACACCGAGGATCTGGCGTGCCGTAGAAGGCACAGAAGAATGCCGATGTAGATCAAATGCTCTAGATGTATTCCCTCACCCCCAACTCAGGGGTGCGTGGGGGGACTAAGAGGGCGGGCCCTGCCTGGAGGGGGCGTGGGCACTGAGGGGCAGGGAGGGGGTGTCTGCAGGCCCTGGTGGGCGGGGCGGGGGTGGTGGAGCTGACACGCGGGCCGTGTCATTCCCCGCTCCACGCACATCCGCGCTGGTTCCGTCCCGTGCCCACTCTCGCTCCGGCAGGCACAGGCTGCTGCCTTTCCCGGGGCCGTTTCCCGAGAGGGGTGCGGTCCCCCCAGGGCTCTGGCCGACCCGCGGCTGACCTACCTGGTCCAGGATGGAGACCCCCGGGGCCTCGGCGAGCTTCCTCTGCAGCAGGGGGTGCGGGTGGGCGGCACCGGGCCTAGCGTAGGGCGTGTGGCCGGACAGCAGGTAGGACAGGCAGATGCCAGAGGGGCCGTTGCCTGGGGAGACAGGGTGGGCGGGGGGTGGCTTTCTCAGGACACTCTGCTGAGCGGGGCCCACATGCCTTCGATGGTGCCTCAGCCACAAAAACAAGACATTTACTAAGCCGTTAGCCGGCACCGGACACCGTGCCCGCTATGAATCAAGAGAAAAGCTAATCAACGAGCCACTGCTGAGGGCTGACTGTGTGCGGGGCTGTCGCGGGAGCTTTCGGCAGCAGCAGCAGCAGCGCCATAGTGGGCTCACTCAATGCTACTCTTTCTCCTTCCATGCTTGAGGACGTTGGGGCACAGAGAGGTTAAGCTCCTTGCCCGGGGTCACACAGCTGGCAAAGCCGACAAGCCAGGACCGGAGCCTAGACCGAGGGAACCCCGACAACATGGCACCAGGAACCGGTCCCGTCCTTGCTGGCTGCCCGTGCGGTCAGGCGGACGTGTAGAATGTGACTCAGACTAGGCGAGCCCGGGGGCCGGCACACCCGGTGTGCACAGAGAGGGGTGCTGTGCCCCGAGGGGCCGCCTGCTTCCCGGGCTCGAGGGACCGGGCTGCCTGCCTGTGGCACTTCCCGGGCCATTAGGCCCGACCCGTGACGCCTGTTCTACTCTCGTCACTTTCTTGTCCCATTCAGAGACTCGCCCGTGCGTGCAGCGCTGTTCGGGACTGTGGGAATCTGTTTCCGGCTTTGCGTGGCGGGGGCGGGGGGTGGGGGATGGGAGGGGGGGGGGTGGAGGGTGTCCGCCCGGTTTCCGTGGAGAAGGGTGGGGCCGTGCGGGGTCACCCAGCGCAGTGCCAGGCACGGGGCGGTGGCCGTGGAGACCGGGCCCGGCTAGGACAGGCCCCCCCCCCCGCCGCCCCTCTGCAGCCGGATGGCTCCGTTCTTGCCCCCCGCGTTCTCGGAACGACAGTTTATATAAACTGCTAAGCGCCGCGCGGCCACGCAGCACCGAGTTTCCCCGAAAACAAGGCGGGGTCTTATATTGATTTTTCCTCAAGATGACACCCTAGGGCTTATTCTCAGGGGATGTGTCATTTTTTTTTTAAGTACGGGACAAGCGTCTACATGTATTCAAATACAGTGAAGTCGTCGTCTTCTGGAACATCACTGTCACTCTCCAGACCGCGAATCCCACCCTGAATTCCTTGCCACTCTGTTTCCTCTAGAACCACCGGCCCCGATCTCTCCTGTCGCGCACTAGAGCTGTCACGGGGCGGACGAGAAGGGCTGCTCGTCTCCTTTCCCGCTCCGTGACGACACGCATCCCGCTCCGTGACGACACGCACGGGTCGTGCAGACGCGCTGCGCAGCCACGCCCGTCACTAGAGCTGATTTTCTGGCTGGGGCTTCCATTGCGCACCTGCTTAGACACCCTGCCAGGGCTTATTTCATGGGGAGGGCTTACTGTCGGGGAGACACAGCAGTGGACGCTCAGTGGCTTAGTCTAACGACAGCAGTTGCAAGGAGGCCAGGCCTGGCCCCACCCCGCTCCTGTCCTGAGACCCGGGGGGCTCGGCAGCCCCTCCCCCGCCCAGGCCACTCACCGATGACGATGACCGTGAGCGGCTCCGAGCTGCTGGCGCCGGGGTGCTCCTTCCCTGGGGAGCTCATGGCTGTGGCCGGCGGGGGGCGGGGGGCTGGCGGGCGACCTGCAGGGCAGAGGGGAGGAAGGGCCCATCGGGTCAGGCTTGGGTGTCAGGCAGCCCCCGCCCGGCTAGGGTGGCCGCCTGTGGACCTCAGTCAGGCCCCAGGTCCCCCCCGGAAAGGGAACAACGGAACCCCCCGGGCCCCCCCGCCCAACCCAAACAAGGGCCCCCCCCCCCCCAACGGCCCGGCACCCCCCCCCCGCTCCCCGGGCCCCAACCCGCCCCGCCCAACCGCCCCCCAAGGCAAGGAAAACCCCGGAACCCCGCCCAGCACTCCCGTGCTGGCTGCAGCCCCCACCACGCTCCAGCCCGCGGGTGGACCTCGGGTCATCGCCTGGCCCTGGCGAGTTGCTTCCTAGCTGGTGGCTGTGGGGCCCGCTCCTGGACCTCTCTGGGTCTCAGTTTCCCCATCTGTAAAATGGGAATCACGAGAGTCCCTACCTCGCGGGGTTGTCGAGGGACGGAAGCACCTGGCTGGAGTAGATTTGCCACCGGGAAAGGACCAGAGTTTACTGCCTGCTGCAGGGGCTGGGCTAGAACCTGTGGACTCGGGAAACCTGGGAAGGGGGGCTGACTTGGTGTAGGGAAAGTGCCGGTACACCTGCCCGTCCGTGGAGCTCTGGCGCCCTCTGCTGGCCACAGGCCCAAATCACTCACAGGGACCCGAACTCGGGTCTCAGAACTGCAGGTGCTTGAGAGGACACACCTTTTCCCCAGACCAGCAGGCGGTGGGCCACAAGGCAACACCCGCGCGGGAGTGAGGGACAGCGGGCATTTAGCATTTACTGGGTGCTGGGTATCTGACGGTTTCTTCTCATCTCCCCACATCGACCCTGTGCAGAAAGTGCAACAGTGTCCCACGTCACAGGTGTGCGAACGTGCTCAGAGTCCGCACAGGCCGATCCGTGCCGCACAGCTGACTCCTAAGCCCAGGGTCACCTGTAGCCACCGCCCACGACACTCAGCCCGAGCCCAGAGGAGGCTGGGCCCGTGGAGGGCCACACCCTCCCAGGGAAGGAGGGAGCAGACGGGGACGGGCCTGGACCGCCCAGAGTGGCTGGGTGGAGCCCAGGGTCACCGGCCTCCAGGACTCTTCCAGAGCAGGTGGGGATCTGGGTTTTGATGTGATTTGGAAAGTGGGCAACTGATTCACACTCCTTGAAAATCTTTGAACAGGCTAACAAAACACATGTGAGGCCAGCAGGTGACCTCAGATGTGTGCAGAGTGACAGGGACACCGGTGTCCCCCACTGGGCGGGTCCTGAGCAGACAGACCTGCAAAGTCAAGTCACCCCTCGGCACCTGCAACTCTAGGAATTGCGTTTGGGTCCCTGTGAGTGATGTGGGCCTGTGGCCAGCAGAGGGCGCCAGAGCTCCATGGACGGGCAGGTGTACCCGCATTTTCCCTACACCAAGTCAGTCCTGCTTCCAAAGGGGGGTGGGGGGACAGCTGCACAGATGGGCCGGTCAGAGGACCTGGGTGTCACTCCCACAGTGACGACAACAACAACTGACCTCCTCACAGCACTCTACAGTTTGCAAGGAGCTCACACCTAAGCAATAGCATTCGGTTCCCTCATTGCCCCGTCCTGTCTAGCAGCACCCACCCGCCACTTTCTCCTCCCACCCTGGGCAGGCAGCCTGGTGGCACTGGGGACCGCAGGGCCTTCTCCATCCCAGCTCCCTGCGGGGCCCGTGCCTCTGCCTGGGGAGGGGATTTGGGGTGACAAGACCGCCAATAATAATAGCAGTACTAACCGTGACAACAGACAGCTAGCATTCCTGTACTCCTTCGGACTGGGGTAGGTGCCCAGCATGTTCTAACCACTGCACGCACAGTCCCTAATTTAATCACTCCCACATTACAGATGGGGAAACTGAGGCCCAGAGAGCTTCTCACGGCCCTTTACAGTTTGCCAGGCGTTTGCCCCAGCTCTCGCAGGCTGAGCTGTACCTGAGCCCCCGTCGCCCCGCTCCAGAGCCGGGGTCCCTCTGGCCGGGCTGAGCATGCAGGTGCCGTCCCAGCTTGCCCCACTGCTCTGTCCCAGCGCTGGTGGCAGGGAGGGACGCCAGGGGGCAGCTGGTGTTCCCAATGCTCCAGCTCGGAGGGGACCCTTTCTCACTGACCGCCTGGCGCCGGGTGTGTGCAGGGGCCTTGGGGAACAGGACCGTGGTTCCCGGAGTGCTTCCTCCTGCCCCTGGGCCCCTCCGTCCTCATCTTCACTGTCCCCAGGAATCAGCGAAACGGGAAGCATGTGACCTCCCGGCACATTGCTTCCTGTGCGTTCTCTCCTTAATCCTCCTAACGACCCACTTTGCAGATGAGCACACTGAGGCTTGGGGCACTGAAGCCACACACCCCAGGCTACAGAGCTGGCGGTGATGGAACTGAAATTTGATACCCGCAGACTGAAGCCACCTAGACACCCCCTGACCCTACCCGGAAACAGCTCTGTCACCTGCTCAAGGGCCCAATCCCGGGCCACACCCTGTCCCTCCTTCGTTCTTTTGCACTCCTCCGCCCCCAGCCAATGAGGAAGGCACCTGCGGGAGCCCGTGGACCAATGAGGAATCGGAGCTAGTTGCCCCTTGTCCCTGTGCGGGAAGCTGAGGGTGCTGATTTACCACCAGGGCTTCTGGGCTCCAAGTCCAGTGCTCCCTCCCAGAACCGCCCGTGGGCACTGAACAGAAGCTCCTGGATGCCACATACATGAGGTCACCACCCGGGGGCGGACCTGAGAGGTCACTTCCTGTGCTGAGTGGTGCAGGACGCCCCGAGGTCGGGAGCAGCCGGACGCTCCCACTCGTGACCTCGGACGACTGTTAACATGGGCGCAGACTTCCAGGAGAGAACTTGAGTTTCACCATTTCAGTTCCTTTCAGTGTGGGGGAGCTGGGATCGTCAATTTTTAATGCCATCTTTTTCAGTCCCTCCATCTGAAGATGGCAGATGGCGATGAAAAAGAGTTGACATTAAAAATCGATGTTTCAAATTCCACAAAAGCACATGAGCATCAAGGAAAGAAATAGCTGCGCCTTCGACTGATGTCTCGTTCACGTTTGTAGCATTGCGGTTAGTGAAGCTTCAGACCGCTCTAGCACTCCTACACACCTGCACGGGTGCATTTATCGGGCGCCTATGGCGACCCGTGCTCATCTGACTTTAATGACACCCTGAGAGGTGGCATGTCCCATCCCCCTGTGCAGAGTAAGAAACTGACATCGGAAGGAGCAGGTGTCTCGCCCCAGGTCACCCAGGAATTTTGGAGACCACACCCAGGTGCACACATCCCAGTTCTGCCCCTGGGTGCCTGTCCCCAGTTGTGTCCCTGGGTGCCTGTCCCCAGTTGTGTCCCTGGGTGCCTGTCCCCAGTTGTGTCCCTGGGTGCCTGTCCCCAGTTGTGCCCCTGGGTGCCTGTCCCCAGTTGTGTCCCTGGGTGCCTGTCCCCAGTTCTGCCCCTGGGTGCCTGTCCCCAGTTGTGTCCCTGGGTGCCTGCTCCGGGGCCCCAGAGCCTCATCTGGGGCCACACCTTGTCCCCTCCAAGTGACACCAAGAGAGTGGCACGAAGCCCTGGGGGGTGAGGATGAGGAGGCGCTCTGTCCGCCCAAGGCCACCTGCCCTGAATCCTTGGTGCACGGCTCGCCCCAGCTGGCACCCAGACCCCCCTTCCCCAGCGCCCTGGAGCCTCCCGTTAGAAGCCAGGCCCGAGCCCGCCGGCCGAGGGCTGCATGCGGGCGCCCCGGGGCCCTGCCTGCCGCGAGCAGAGCAAGCAGAGCGCCCGAGACCCGAGGGAAGCTCCCAGCCCGGCTGCAGACCGGCGGCCTCGGGACACGCCGGGCAGCGAGCCCGGGCTGGCCACACCTCTCTTTCCTGCCAAGAGCTGCGGTCACGTGGGCGGGGGACGCCGGACTGTGGCAGCCGGGCAGCTGCTGGGCTGAGCGTGCCAGGCACACGGACATGGCCGGGAGCCCGGCAGCAGCCCGAGGCCCGGAGGATCGTGCCGCCCCCCCAAACCTGGGGCGGGCCTCCACTCGGGACCGCCTGGGCCCCTTCCTGGCCCTGGGGCCTGCAGACACGGCCGCCCCTGGCGGGACATGCCCCTGGTGCCTCGCCCGGCCACTCACCTGACAGGCGGCGGGTGGAGGGGCCCGGCGAGCCTGGCCTGGCGGGGCACGGAGAGCCGGGGGCCACCGTGTCCTCCGCGCCTGCGGGACACTCCGTCACCCCACGGGGATCCCAGAGGCTGTGCGAGGCCAGGGGGAAGTGAGGGTATTTCACGGGCAGGGAGGAGGCGGTGCGGGCGGGGGCGGGGCCAGGAAAATCACTTTCATAAGCGTGAGTCAGCAGGGGCCGGGATGAATGAACTTGCACACTGGGAGGACAGTGTCACGCTGCCTGCCCCCGGGCCCGCCCGGTTCCGCGGAGGTGCTGGCTCACCAGGAACCTTCCACGCGGTGGCCCAGCTTTTGTGGACG